GTGGTGTGGGGGGGCAGGGGAGGTCGAAGGAGAGGCCCCGGGCACATAGAGGCAGGAGCAGGGCTGCCGCTGGAGTAAGATATGAGACGTTGCTGGGCACACGTTGGGGAGGGAGCATCTGTGTGCTGTGGTGAGGGGCCCTTGGTCCCCATTGGCCCTGTGTGATGTGGGTGAGTAAGACCAGTATCCTGCCCTCCCACCCATCCGGCATGTTTCTGTCCTGTGGCCTGGTTCTCTGGTGGGCAGTTGATCTGTCACATTTGTTCTTTGACATGTTTTCTGTGTGTCTGTGTGCAATTTTTCTTTGAAAATTTATTGAATGAGCAAGTTTAATTCTTTAACAATTGACACAATACAGGCACACTTCAGATTCTTTAACAATTGACACAATACAGGCATATCCTTCAGAGGTGTTGTGGGTTTGGTTCCAGACCACCCCAATAAAGCGAGTATCACAACAAAGCTAGTCACACGACGTTTGTTTCCTAGAGCCTATAAAAGTTAAGTTTACAATGTAGTCTATTAAGTGCGCAATAGCGTTATGTCTAAAAAATAACGTACATACATTAATTAATAAATACTTCATTGCTAAAACGTGCTAACTATCATCTGAGCCTTCAGTGAGTCGTAATCTTTTTGCTGGTGGAGGCTGCTGACCGATCAGGGTGGTGGTTGCTGAAGGTTGGGGTGGCTGTGGCAATTTCTTAAAAAAAGACAACAATGAAGTTTGCCGCATCGATGGAGTCTTCCTTTCATGATAGATTTCTCTGTAGCGTGTAATGATAGCATTTTACCCACAGTAGAACTTCTTTAAAAATTGGAGTCAGTCCTCTCAAACGCTGCTGCTGCTTTATCAACTAAGTTTATGTCATATTCTAAACCCTTTGTTGTCAGTTCAGCAATGTTCACAGCATCTTCAGCAGGAGTAGATTCCGTCTTAAGAGTTCACTATCTTTGCTCATTCATGAGAAGCAACTCCTCATCCGTTGAAGTTTTATCTGAGATTGCAGCAATTCAGTCACATCTTCAGGCTCCACTTCTATTTCTGTTGCTGTTTCCGTCACATCTGCGGTTACTTCCTCCACTTATGTCTTGAACCCCTTAAAGTCATCCACGAGGGTTAGAATCAGCTTCTTCCAGAATCTTGTTAATGTTGATATTTGACCTTCTCTCACGAATCACGAATGATCTTAATGGCGTCTAGAACGGTGAATCCTTCCCAGAAGGTTTTCCATTTACTTTGCCCAGGTGCATCAGAGGAATTACTATGAAAGCTACAGCCTTACAAAATGTATTTCTTAAATAATAAGACTTGAAAGTGGAAATTCCTCCTTGATCCATGGGCTGCAGAATGGATGCTATGTTAGCAGGCATGAAAACAACATTAATCTCCTTGTACATCTCCATCCAAGCTCTTGGGTGACCAGGTGCATTTTCAATGAGCAGTAATATTTTGAAAGGAATCTTTTTTTCTGAGCAGTAGATCTCAACAGTGGGCTTAAAATATTCAGTAAACCATGTTGTAAACAGATGGGCTGTCATCCAGGCTTTGCTGTTCAGAGCGCAGGCAGAGTAGATGTAGCCTATTCTTAAGGGCCCGAGGATTTTCTGAGTGGTAGGTGAGCATTGGCTTCAACTTAAAGTCACCGGCTGCATTAACCCCTATTAGTCAGCCTGTCCTTTGAGGCTTTGAAGTCAGGCATTGACTTCTCCTCTCTAGCTATGAAAGTCCTAGATGGCATCTTCTTCCAACGTAAGGCTGTTCGTCTACCTTGAAAATCTGTTGTTTAGTGTGGCCGCCTTCATCAATTATCTTAGCTAGAGCTTCTGGGTAACGTGCTGCAGCTTCTGCATCAGCACTTGCTGCTTCACCTTGCACTCCTGTGTCATGGAGATGGTTTCTTTCCTTAAACCTCATGAACCAACCTCTGCTAGCTTCAAACTTTTCTTCTGCAGCTTCCTAACTTCTCTGAACCTTCACAGAATTGAAGGCTGTTGCTCTGGATTAGGTTTTGGCTTTAGGGAGTGTTGTGGCTGGTTTGATCTTCTTTCCAGACCACTAAAACTTTATCCATTTCAGCAACAGGGCTCTTTCTCTTTCTTATCATTCGTGTGTTCTGGAGTAGCACTTTTAATTTCCTTGAAGAACTTTTCCTTGGCATTCACAACTTGGCTAAGTGTTTGGTGCAAGAGGCCTAGCTTTCGGCCTGTCTCAGCTTTCGACATGCCTTCCTCACTAAGCTTAAGCATTTCTAGCTTTTGATTTAAAGTGAGAGATGTGAGACTTCCTTTCACTTGAACACTTGGAAGCCATTGTAGGGTTATTAACTGGCCTAATTTCAATATCATCGTATCTCAGGGAATAGGGAGGCCCGAGGAGAGGGAGAGAGATGGGGAACGGCCGGTCTGTGGAGCAGTCAGAACACGTATAACATTTATTGATTAAGTTTTCTGTCTTATATGGGTGCAGTTTGTAGCACCCCAAACCTATTACAATAGTAACACCAAAGATCACTGATCACTGATCACCATAACATATAATAATAGTGAAAACATTGAAATATTACAAGAATTACCAAAATGTGACGCAGAGACACGAAGTGAGCACGTGCTATTGGAAAAATTGCACTGATAGACTTGCTCCACGAGGGTTGCCACAAACTTTCAATTTGTAAAAAATGCAATATCTGCAAAGTGCAATGAAGTGAAGTGCAGTGAAACAAGGTATGCCTGTGTTGAACGCTGAGATTATGGCTGCTTGTGGAATATTTATGATTTCACTAGAATTCTACCCATGTGTAGTGTGAATGTAAGCTTTGGCTGTTTTCGGTATGCAATTCTGATTTTCAAATGTGTTTTAACAGCTGGAGGAAGCACGCCAAATTCATTCTCGTTTTGAGAAAGAATTTAATTATAAAAACGAGGAGACCGCGCAGGTCATTAGAAAGCAGAAGGAGCTGCTGGACTGCCTCAATGAGGAGAGCGCAGCGACGGCTGCACTCACCCGGGAGCTCCACCAGGCCCACGGTGAGCGGGCGAGCTGGACACACTCCCAGGGGCCGGGCACGAGAAGGGGTGGGGTGGGGGTAGGATGGGACCACCTCAGGAGGGAGCTCCACCAGGCGCACAGTGAGCGGGGAGCTGGACACCACTCCCACAGGGGCTGGGACGGGACCACCTCAGGAGGGAGTGCCACCAGGCCCAGGGTGAGCGGGGAGCTGGACAAACTCCCACAGGGGCTGGGACAGGACCACCTCAGGAGGGAGCTCCACCAGGCCCACAGTGAGCGGGGAGCTGGACACCACTCCCACAGGGGCTGGGCACGAGGTGGGCTGGGACGGGACCACCTCAGGAGGGAGCTCCACCAGGCCCAGGGTGAGTGGGGAGCTGGACACCACTCCCATAGGGGCTGGGACAGGACCACCTCAGGAGGGAGCTCCGCCAGGCCCACAGTGAGCGGGGAGCTGGATACCACTCCCACAGGGGCTGGGCATGAGGTGGGCTGGGACGGGACCACCTCAGGAGGGAGCGCCACCAGGCCCAGGGTGAGCGGGGAGCTGGACAAACTCCCACAGGGGCTGGGACGGGACCACCTCAGGAGGGAGCTCCACCAGG